GTCTGTTAGAGGAGAGAGAGAAGAATAAATAGAATAGGGAATGACGTTGTCAGGCATATTATGAGATTTTTCTTGATTTTGGCTCTCAGCTTTCTGTTTCGAGAGAGGGAGTTTTCCCTGGAATGTTGGTTCTTATTTCTCCATTAATACAAATTCCCTATTCCTTCTCCATTTCATCTACTGCCATTATTACTCTATTTTCTGTTCTTCATCATATTTGTTCTTAACTTTTGTTGGATTTAAGGTGGCCTCTTTTGTCCTTGGGACCTAGGGAGCAATGCATAAATTTTAAAGAATAATAGCAGATTACAGAATCAAAGAATTTTAAATCAATTTTTTAATTCCCTTAGTTATTAATGGAGAGCTTTCATCGTTGTCTAGTGATGCCATGAGGACATGGCAGTAATTGGAAGCAGTTATTTGATTCCTAAGCAATCCAGTACTTCTAAATCAATTTCAATGATATCACCCAATTACCTCAAGAGTACAGTGCGGATCTGAAGAGCAGGGCTCCATTTGTCTTTAAGTATATCGAGACATATCCTGCCAAGCTGCATAGAAAGCTAACAATATAAGAAAAGAGAAATTTAAAACAACCTTAAACAATGATTTGGGTATGACAGACCTTATCGATGTTAGGATGGTATATTTTTGTAAGAAATCGAACCTGCCAGAAAGGTCAGTCTATCAGATATAAATTCAGGCAACCATGCAGACATTAAGTCCTTTATGCAAAACAAAAAAAGAAATTTAAATTAAAAAAATCGACTTTAAGTTGCACCAAGCCAAGCATAGAAGCATGCAACTTATAACACCTTTAAGGACCTCAGGAAACCGAAGAACTAAAGAACATCATAACAAATTTTAACCTAGCAGGCTAGCACAAACAGCTTTCGGCTTATAATGAAGACTTCATAAAAAAGAATCCCAAAAGGAAAAGTACTGGGTCCGGGTCACCTATTAACATATATTTAAAAGGTGAGAACAGAAAAGTGACAGCCTAAGGCAGTAGAGCTACAGTCTTACAGAAAGCCTTTCCAGTTCATGCACAGAGAAGGTAACTTCATAAGTTGCATATGAATTAAGATGCACGTTTAACACAAAAAGAAAAGTGAATTAACATAATATCGGAGTATCCAGGGATCAGTAAACAACAAACAGAAGACTTCCTTGAGCACTTATGCAAAGCATATTAGCAATAAGGGCAATTGGAAAACCAGCTTCCCTTCTAAAACTCGAGTAATCTTTCCTGTTATAGGGTCCAACATAAAACTTCCACCAAGACCAAACCATAACAACACTAGTCACTGAATATCCACATCAAGCAGACATCATATAGAACTGTTTAACAACTTTAGCATCATGAGCAGCTAACACTTGCTACTATGTGATGTAGCTCGTCACCAACAAAATGGTCTCCTTTTCCAACTTTACCTCATTTACAGCTTTCCCATCCCATTACAAACCATCCACTAGATTACAGAGCATATTAGCAGGTCAAATCAGTTTTTCTCCAATCCCCTTGATCGCTTATTGCTGAGAAACATCACAAGTCTCATCTCATTCTTCCTCCCTTAACACACATGTCCAATTCCTTCATGCTGATAGGGTCCACATCTTCTATAAAATTCTTGAAATGAGCCATCTAGCAATCCTGTTTCTTAGCCTCACCCACACCCCCGCAAATATCTGAAATACCTTGGAAAACAAAATCCTCCATGACCCAACTCTCACTGCTCCAAAGCTTAGCAACCTTGTTTTTCTGGTTCTTCTTTCTATTTCTTCTCGTTTCCCTCCAAATATTCGTTAAAAAAAAGCCTTGGGACTTTTCCTTTTTCCCTTTAGTCTACCAGGCCTCACTTCAGCTTCAGTTCACTGCATCCAGCCTATGAGTATTGTGATAACAAATAAAATACCAGTGTACATATGTACTATAGAAGTTCCTCACACCCTGAATAGATTATCGGCAGATTAACGAAGCCTAATTGGTTAATTTTGATAGAAGTATCATCTCTAAACTTTTGCACACATTTACAATGAACAAGGGCTAACGAGTAATGTCCACTAATCAAGGAGTAACAATAGTTTACAACGTAAACCTTGTAGCAGGAATGATTCAACAGGGGCACTAAAGGATATGTATCAATAGATTTCGTACCTTGGGGGCAGCCATTGGATATTCTTCCGGCAAAAATAACTCCAGCTTGAAAACTCCTCCTATAGATCAAGCAGAATGAGCAACATGCAAAAAAATTAAGAATTTTTTGTGTTTGGGATGTGATGAATAACTAATGGAAATCATGACTGAGTTCCCATTTCAAGGACAAAAACAGATGGATATTAAGATATTAAATCACAAAAGACAAGTAAACATACACGCAAATGCCACGTCCATTGTGAGTTTGCAACTCTTGAACTATGTCAAATAAATAATGGAAGGTTTATTGAACACCAGATGGCTAAACTTAATCACAACAGTCTACAGGCATTCACTGTAAATGCACTCTTGATATTAGGTTTGCTCCATAAGCTAACAAGATTACATTATGGTACTAGATACTTAATAGTCACTCAAATTCAAAAAATTACCTACAGTTTGAGTTTCAAGGATAAAACCAAACCAAGCAAACCCAGTAAATCCCACATACAGCAGGGGGGGTAAGATGTACAAAATTACCTACAGTTTGACCTTACCTCTACCCTAAGAAGCAAAGAGGTAGTTTTTGCAAAGACCACCAACATGTAAACAGGTTGTGAGAAAAGGACTTTGGAAGTATGAAAAAGGAGAAGATAAAAATAATTGAAAGGAATTATGTTTGGAAGAGTTGAAGAAAAAGTAACGAGAAAGAGATAACAAAGCATGCAAAGACATTGAAGGATACAATGGGCTATTTAACAGAATTATATTGCTTGTACTATCTTATGTTTTGTAATCATCTTATAACTACATATTTGTTTATGAAATTTAAAAACTGATGGTGGGAATTTAGAAGCAAAATCAGTATCAGATTTCTATATGATAAAAAACAAAGTCTGACATCACAGAGTCAAAATATCTTTTGAAATGAAATAACGAGTAGCACTTGAGAATCATATATACATCTGCAGTCTAAACATAGCTGCACTTTAATTCCTTGCAATTACTTTTATGCATTTACTTATTAGCAGTTACCCTGTATCTCCTTCTGTTTCAGTACAATCATTCATTAGAAGAATGCTTGGTGGGTACGCGTGTCAAAAGATGCGAGTTCTCTACGATGGTGAACAACCTAAACAGCATGTCAACATAATTTTGCAGAAATATTACATTCTTCTATACACATTTTGAACAAATGAAGCGACAAATACAGTCCTACAAGCCAACATTTATAGTCAACAAGCTTTTAATAAGTTAATTTACCTTCGTAAGGAGACTGTGTTGGACCAAGGATCATGACATTAAAATACCGCATGTTCTCTTCTGATGGCGAAGCACTTATCCCCGGAGCTACACAGCAAAATCATAAACATTAAACTGAAATCACTTGCTTTGAGTTGTTAATGGGGTCGTTTATAAATGAACCCTAATACAAATCATAAAGAGGTAAATCCCTAGCATTCTGCAACGTAAACCAACTCCTTAAGTTATTCCAATCACTCTTCACTGCTTTCTGTTATCATGCTCATATAAACTGTATCTCTCTCTCCTATGTCGTTCTGTTACAAGTCTTCTCTTACAATTAACAATACTTCAACTTAAAGTAAGTCTATTAATTATCATCCAATCACTAGAACCCCAAAACACACAATTTAGATTCCAAATGAACTTCCGAGTAAAAAATATCGAATAACAGCACAACAATTAACAACTCAACTAACAGAGTTCAAGTTCACCTGGTTCGCTGAGTAACCGCTGCGTCTCCTGAATCAAAACAACAACATAACAACCTTATAGTTAGGGTTTTCAATTTACGACAGTGATCACGGGGGGAAATAAAAATACAAAAATGAGAGATGAAATCGAGGAATTGCGAAAAGAGGCATAAGAAGAAGGTGAAGAAAATCGTTTGTAATAGTACCTTGATGATTCTTCGAGGTAGATTGCTGTTCGCCATGGAAGAAGAGTAGAAGTTACGCTAAAGGGGCTTTTGCCTTTTGAGAAGAACTGGGAAAGAAAGAGGGGGATGGTTAGAGAGAGAACACGAAGGATTTTGGATCTTCACCTCTCGTTGCGAGCCCACCACCGGTTGCCAGAAGCCGGTTAGAAACGTTTATAGAAAAGTAAAAAGGAAAAATTACATGAAAAAAAAATAATGTATTTTAATTTAATTCTTATTTTGAGTAACGTATTTTTAAAACTTTCATTTTGTTACTTATAAAGTCTTAAACATGTAAGTACCGGATAACTGGTTGAAGTATTCATCGGTTACCATGCTGATGTGGCGAGTGATGTGGTATCCAGCCCAATATTATTTGCTGAAGCATTAACCGGCTACCATATCACTCGTCATATCAGCATGGTAACCGGTTAATGCTTCAACCGGTTACCCAGGTATTTAAAAGTACATCTTGAATATCAAAATAGAAGTTTTGAAAGTACGTTATCCAAAATAGAAATCAAGTTAAAGTACGTTACTTTTTTCATGCAACTTGCTCTTAGTAAAACAATCAAACAAAAACAATTTTGAATCATATCTACAGTCGTGGGACCTATGAATTTTTTGAACATGTGCATTTTTAAGGTGGACCAAAAGTCTGTAAAATCGTTGTAAGATTTGGGTTCAAATGAAATCTGCCTTGATCTTTAAAAAAATATATGTTATCGAGATAAAAAGAACGATGATTTTTAAGAGGAATTGACAATGAGAAGATAAAAACTTAAATTTTCACTTAAAATAAGATTCAAACCCATAACCTATTGTATGTGGGATGGTAAATCAACCATCTCAAGTGTGTTTAATTTCTATTATAGACTCGAACACATCACATACATAAAGTAAATAACCAACTAACAGACCAATAATGATTTTCTAAAGAAAATATCCATAATTTTGTTTTTTATAATCAAATGGTGTCAGCGCTTGAAATTTTTTATATATCCGCCTCTATTCAAGCAAGTTTCAATAATACCATTGTGATTGTTACAAATATATGGGGGCGAGTGGTCTCTTGGCCCTCTGTCGGTACTTGTGGCTCCCGAGCTACAAGAAAAAGGACGTTATATACTGCTCAAACAGCAACGGAAAACATTATTCGCGCAACGCTAGATCAAGGTATGCAACGAGCAGAAGTCATGATTAAAGGTCCCGGTCTCGAAAAAGATGCAATATTACAACCTATTTGCAAAAAAACTTATAAAATCAAAACATGACGTATTATATAACATCAACAGACTGAGGAGTAATTTACCAAATATATAATAAAAATTATACATGTGATACATCTATTAAATCAAAAAAACCAAAATGTATAAAATAATAGCTTTTGTACATGTAAAAATTAACATAACGAGGAGTCGTTTACCAAATGTTTATCCGATAAGTGCTTACACGGTCCTTTACCCTACGGATGAACATGGAAAGTACCAAGAATCTTACCTGGTGAAAACGATGGCAATAACCGAGAGTCTTTACCCAGTAAGCGAGTGTGACGAATCTTATTTTGTTATCGCTTATCGGATAAATTATTGCATACGATGCCATCTTGATGGACTACGATAAGGCAAGTGAGAATGTTAAATCTTACCGGTAAGCGTTTGGGTAAACGACCTCTGACTCTATTATACAATAGCGACATGACTCGTTAGGGGTTAATGATGTTGACGAAACAATCGACACTGATTCTGTAGGTCCCGAGTAACAACCGGAGTCAAAATATACGCATACGGCATACCCGATGTAACAAATTAACCGGAAGTAACGGTTTAGCAACGCGTCATGACTTATTGTCGAGATAGGCAATAAGTCTCTCGAGCAATAACGTCGAATTCGTTGTATACTTCATGAGCTCGCCGGCAACTTCAGCCGGGGTGGCATTTGCGCTTTGCAACAACTCCTTGATTCGTTCGAAGAGTTTGTGATCTTCGAGCTCCAGATAATTGAAAGCGAGTTGTTTGAATGCTGAAAATGTGCAATGTGATAGATGAATATGCATGTCCATTCGACCCGGCCGAAGTAATGTCGGGTCGAGCTTATCGATACATTTGGTCGTGAAAACGAAGATTTGTTCTTCTCTGCAACATGACCAAATCCCGTCCATGAAGTTCAAGAGCCGCGAAAACGTCTTTTTTGGCGACAGTTTCCCCGTCGTATCATCCACTATCGGATTTTGTAGTTGGTCGAAATCTTCAAAAACGAGTATTGATTTGCTAGGCGTTTTTAGCATAATGTTTTTCAGTTGCGAGTCTGAATCGACCTTTGTAAGATCCATGTCGTAAATATCGTAGTTTAAGTAGTTAGCCATGGCTGCGATCAAGCTCGATTTGCCTGTGCCCGATGGACCGTAGATCAAATACCCACGTTTCCACGCCTTACCAATTCGTCGATAATATCCCTTCCCGTTCTTAAAATTGTTTAAATCCTCAATAATCGTCTTCTTTAGCTCAGGCTCAATCGCAAGGGTTTTGAAGGTCATTGGGTTATCGAGAATGATGGTTTTTGGTTCGGGATAACCATCGTGGATCATATGAAGTTTTAATCCACTTTCTTCGGCTTTAATGGCATCCGATCGCTCCAAAATGTACGGTAAGTATGACTCGAGGATCTTGAATCTGTGTTTATTATGGAACGTTAACTCGTAGCATCTGAGTCCTGGTTGTTCTGTCGTAGATCTCCATTTCACTTGAACCCCATCGAAATCATCGATGATTTCTTCGTTTACGTTCATTGTAACAGCTAACGTTTCCTTGTTTTTGCACACGTTAACTTTTCGAATACATGATTCGTTCACTTTGGTACCCAAATAGGTCTCGACCGCCTTGAACATTTCGTCGGCCGTGTTCAATTGCGGTTGGTATTCATCTATGACGATAGTGAACTCATTATCGTTTTTGCGAAGAAGCTTTTGCATTTCGTGGATGTAGTAGTCCTGGTACTCTCGCGGGATGAATTCATCCGCTAGGGTACGAAGTTCTTTACCGACGGTTAGAACATCATTCGCGACGCTTCGTGTGAGCATTGCGAAAGCAGCAAAAGAAGCAACTGTCACAAATAGAACTTCCGTTTAGTATCCAAGTATGTGGAAACAAAAGTACAAATCAAAACCAAATGAAACCAATATATCACATCTGATAGTAACGTTTAAGGTGCGTAAGATGTATGCAGACCTAACCTTTATCCCAAACCGTATAGTTTTGGAACAGAAAGTTTCACATTCAAAATCAAAATGGAAGATAAAAAGTGGCATACGTACCGTACGAAGAGGCGCGGTGACTGGCTTTGGGGACCCGGACCCGGTTTGTTTTGCTTGTGCGGTTCGGGTTCGGGTTCAGGTTTGGGTCGTGAGAATTTAACGGCGTTGGTCCCCCTAGAAACAAGCGTGATGGGTTCGAGCCATGGGTGCACCCTCTACAATTGCAATGCAAATAATTTATAGAAATTGCAAGTACGATCCCTCTACTATTACCATAGTAACATATCAGTCCCTCAACTTTCTAAATTATGTTTTTGGTATGAAATTACGACCATTGTGTCGACAAAATCCAACCATTTTTTGTAATCGACCCGTTATGTTACATGGGTAAACTAAAATCTCATGGTTTTATACAATGGCAAGACGATGATCACTAGAACGTGCTTTTCAAGTTATTTTGAACAAGATCTAATGCTATAAACTTTAAAGTATCATCAACTTTCAAACTAAAACTCTTTTTGGGCAATCAGAGATTTCCCCCTTTTGAACCAGCTTGAGCGCACATCGAATGGTCTCAGGCAGTCCAAAAAATAACAGCCTGGAAAATACTTGGGGGATGTTTGACAGTTGCTGAATGGTTTGGTGCAGAATGATTAAGTGGTCATAATAATTAAGAGACTTTCATGATATAATGAAAAATGAAATATAATTGTTTGTTAATTGTTTACAATGAAACTAGGGCTCTGAATAGTTAAGGGAGACTCATGGTACAAAATCATTCAGAGGGTTTTAAAACCATTAGCATGCAAATTTTTTCTTTTTTCCAAACAAGATTCATATCTTAACGATTTAGATGTTGTATTTTAATGAGTTGACTCAAACAACATTCTTTCCATCCTGATCCTATCAAGATTAGAACTTTTATCATCGTTTGAATATCTACTCTTCATCAGGGTCGGACCCATAAATTTTTTTAAATGATGGCACCATTTCACTATAAGAAAAAAATATAGAAGAAAATTTTCAAATGATGACACTATTTGACTATAAGAAACAAATAGACATATTTTTTTCAAAATGTTGCACCATTTGACTAAGAAAATGACACTAACATGATTCAAACTTGGGGCTGGGATGGAATAAAAGTCTTGCAAACCAACTATACCTAATAAAACTTATTCGCATTGCAGTTTCAAAATACATATGATGACACACAACAAATTAATACGATTACACCCTTCACGAACCTAAATTTTTTACTCTTCGACGGAGGAATAATACGGTGACACGTGCCACCATATACAATACTATAGGTCTGTCCCTACTCTTCATAGCATCTCTTAATGAACCTATACCGCCCGTTTAAAAGCGCATCATTAATAACTAGACTCCGATGAAACATTTAACCATCGAGGACTTCTAGGATAGACTAGGCATGCATGCAAACTTTAGGGACTGAACTTGTAACTTAAGAAAAGTTGAGGGGAAAGTATCAAACCTGTTCATCATCTTCATGTAAGAGAAAGCCATCGCTTCTGATTCTTGTTTCTGTTTCTGTTTCTGTTTTCTGTTTTCTGTGTTTTTGTTTTTAAAAATCAGTTGAAGTCTGAGGATGCTTTGATTTATACGGAAGGTGGAAGTTAAGGTTCAGTGCAAGTAAAGAAAAACAAGAAAAACAGAAACAGAAAACACATAAGATTTGGTTGCTTTCTGTGGAGGGAAAAGAAAAAGAAACCCACCACGAAACAAATTCTTTCAAGTGTTTTGAGTTTGGTTTTGCCTATCTTTAACTTTTGCTTCTTCTTATTCACATATGAATATGAGTTAATTGGCAACACTTCCTTTTGCCACTTATATCATGTGTTATACATAATCATATTTATCGATACATGTAACGTTATCTTATACCCATTTTCGCTATCTTTATCAAGAAAACGACGCATTGAGGTCGGCATTCATGTGATACAATCTAAAGATTGTGAATTTTAATCTCGTTATTGTAGTGTTTAGTGAATTATATGTTGAACGATTTCACTTGCAAGGATAATCGTGTATATGTGTATCGATGATCATCAAGGAGGTAGTAGTTTCATCGGTTGATTCTCATTTGACTGCTAACTATCTAATGCATATCATACAGGGATAGACTCGGAAATTTTTTCAAGCGGTGACACCATTTGACTATAAGAATGAAATACACGATATTTTTCACGGAATCATCATTGGTTTGATTCTTAGTTCATTGCTTTTCGTATGTGAGGTTATGTGTTCAAGTCTTTTATTGCAAAAAAAAGATTCAGAAACTAATAAATCTGAAATTAAAAGGTAAAAACTAAGAAAATGACACTAAGAGGATTCGAACTGGGGTGTAAGAAAAGTCTTACAAACCAACCATACCAAGAAAAACTTGTGTCCTCATTGTAGTATCAAAATATATACGGTGACACTTTTCACGACCCTATAATTTTTTACACTATGATGGAGGAACGAAAAGGTGGCATGTGCCACCACAAAACCACTGGGTCCGTCCCTGGCATCATTTATCAATGAAAAATACCCACTGTTAACCATCTAACACTAAAACACATTACAGGGTCATGACCGCCAAGGACGCCCTTCGAACCGTGCAAGAAGGCGAGGCCCACTAGACCATCTGTCATAAGGACTACGGAGCTATTCAACGATCCCGGTATCTTGTTAGCTTACGTAATTGTGCACTCTACACCTTCTTACGTGTGTTATAGTTTAAGTTGTTGCCTCATATTTTCTTGTGAATCAGATCACATAAAATTGACCCTAAAATCACGGAAATTTTCTTAAATGGGAATTAAATAAAGCTTGTTTTGGTGTAAAGAGAGTTGGCGTACATAGCCTTCTGTTCGTGTTTGTAAGCGAAGTTAAGTTATGGTCGCAATAAATTCGGCACATTACGTCAAGAATTTAACAATTATTTATACAAGTCTTATTATATAATTGCATATTACTCCCTTCACTACATTACATGGTCATGCTTACGTTGAGCATATACATGCATACTCTATATATATATATATATATATATATATATATATATGGGCTGGTTCAAATACTAACCCAATATTTTGTGCAAACTATGCTAACTCATCTTAATCGTTCATTTTCTAATCTAACGGTTATTATTAAATGAGATTAAATAAACAATAATTTAATTAATATATTAATTAATATGTGTATGAACAATTGTTCAAAGGATAAATTGGTCAAAATTTTGTATTAATTAATATGTGTATGAACGATTGTTCATCTTCGTGCCTATATCAAGGTATGAACATTCATGTGAACCCTATGGTGTGAACATCAAGGTATGAAGGTGTGAACCCTAGATATATGAACATTAGCTACACCGTGTGAACCCTAGATATATGAACATTAGCTACA